CTCAAGATTCCCACACTTGGGTGCTTGACTTTTCACCCTGCTCCAACTGCACCATCCAGATTGTGGAAGGCTCTCCTTGTGTAACTGAGATCACTTCTTATCCAACACCCTTCATCCACATTGCTCATAGTCCCCAAGGACTGACTGCCCACTTACACCATCATTCTGCTACACCTAATGCTCATTACTATGCGCAGTTGGGAGATGCAGTATTTTTCTTCATTGCCTGTTGTAATTGAGAATTACAAGGGACACCAGCCATAGATTTCTGACATCATAACCCCAGGGACCATCTAAACACCAAAGGTAAATTGAATGAGCATCCACTTTCTTTAAAACCTCAGAGGAAACATCAGACCTCATGGGATGCCTGGGTCATGACAGATGTGATGTGCAGGTGTCCAAGATAATTGGTTTTTCTGTTTGGCTCAATGTAAATATGCTTTTGGGGGGGGGGATGTAATAGCACAAGCGAAATAGTAAAGAAGGATATCATGGCAAGAACTTTATGTAAGATTTTCCTCATTTATTTTGGAATCTGTTTAAGAGGTGGGGATAGTGGTGTAGTGGATAAAACCAGCACCCATGATGCAGACATCACACAGGGACACTGGTTCAAATCCCTACCTCTCTGTTCCTGACCCAAGTCCCTTTTATTGGGCTGGCTGGAAAAATCAGACAGACAGACCAACTCTACAGATGACCTGGATGAAGCTCCAGGCTCTTTTCGTTCACCTGGCCTGGTCCTAGCTATTACAGACACTTGGAGGGTGAACCAAAGGATGGGAGATCTCTCTCTCTCTCTCTCTGCCTCTTCTTTGTCTGTAACTCTGACTTTCAAAGAAATAAATAATTACAATATGCATTGAAATTTATGAAGATTTTAAAGGGAAGAAATTTATGAACTTAAATTATAAAACAGCACAAGAGGATACTTCAGAAAGCTCATGAAAATGGAATAAAAGAAAAGATTATTTGGGTGCAAAACTTATTGAAAGCTAGGCAGAGATTTTCATAATATGCATTTCCTATGATATTTTTTAAGATCCCCTACAATGTGTGATGATTCCATTTTTGCAAGGAAAATAATATATAGATCTAAAATACACACAAGTCAGAGATGATATATACCCAAATAGTAATGGTAGTCTCTCTGGGCGATGGAATTATAGCTACTTTTGACTTTCTTCCTTTGCTTTATTTGTATTTTTTTGTTTGTTTTAGAAAATGAATATTTCTTTTCTAATAAAAATGAACAAAATAATGTTTAGTTGGAATAAAGATATCCTAGAACCCTGTATTAAAAGTAGCAGAGAGTCTCTTTTTAATATAGATGAAAGAGTTAAACGAGAAAAGTAGCTGAAAATGAGATCTCTCCATTTGAAAAGCAACCATCACAGGAGTTCAACACAGGACCTGAAGTGACAGCAGCATGGGGTTTGGAAGAAATGCTGTGGTCTTCTGGAACAAAGATAGGATCTGAACCAGCTAACCCATTTCTTGGAATATATCCAAAGGAGATGAATTCTGCACATGAGAAAGGAATATGTAATCCTATATTTATAGCAGCACAATCTACAATAGCAAAGACATGGAAACAACCCAGATGCCTGTCCAACGAGACTGTGGTACATCTACTCTGTGGAATATTACTCAGCCATTCCAAAGAATGAAATTCTACCATTTGCAACCAAATGGTTCCAACTAGAGACCATTATGCTCCTTGAAATAAGTCAATCCCTAAAGGACAAATAGCAATCTTCATGTAAACTGTAAGATCAATAATCCTTTCAATACTGTTTTTGCTATATGTTTTTATCTTTTTGTTTTTATTTTCATGCCATCAAAAAAGTTCTTTTTTTCCCTTATTAATTACCTCACTGACTCACAGGGCACACAGCACCATCATCTTCTTCAAGAAAGTTTTTGATTTTCTTTATCATTTCTTCAGCAACACATTGGTCATTCAGTAGCATATTATGCAACTTCACGACGTTATAAATTTTCATTTTTCTTCCTGTTGCTTTTATTTTATGGATTTCCATTTAAGAGGATGTATAGTAACTAAATAGGAGCTGGCTCTAACACGGTTTCCTGTGTTCTCAAGTGTCTGCATTAATAGCTTCTTTGTTGGCAAAGGAACTCAGCCTCTAAAAGGCCCAAGGTTACAAACAGGCACACACCCATGGTTCCTTAGTCACAGGTAGGGAAGGTCAGGAAGCTGCTGAACCAGGGACCCAGCCTTAGTCTGCAGTTGACTCTAGTCCAACAGAACCCCAGCTAATTAGGCAACCCTGGCAATTAAGTGACTACAAACCCATGCCAGAATTGTCCCACAGGGGGCTCGCAAATGGTGGGAAGAGTGAGTCAAATTTGCACAGGGAGTCAGCAACTCTGAGCCCAGAGCCTGCTGAGCCCTCACCTCGGGCAGGAGGGAGACTCTCGGCACTCAAGTTCTTCAAAGCAGTCAGGAGTTGGTTTGAGAAGTCCCTTAAGCTGACTTCACCTGCCATGACCCCGGCAAGTGGATACCCATGCCTGTGATTTCCAAGCCAAGGGAGGGTCACCTCCAAAGAAGGGCCCAGGGAGTTTCTGGCCTAAGCACGTAAGCCAGTCAGTCTGGAAACTATTACTGTAATCACTGGGAAAATCAGCTAGGAGACAAGTTGGAGTGAGTTGAAATTTGAAAAACACATGAACAGGGCGGGCCTGACGAGAAGCCAGAGAGACCACAGGCAGAAAAGCTGGAAGGGCAACTTCTGGATCCATCCCGAAAGGTAGCTGCTTGGATGGGCAAGTCAACATACTCTGATTTCTCTCCAGTTCACTAGTCTTGGTGGATTGCCCTGAAGAGTATCCCAGCACCAAGTTTGAGGGAAAGAAAATGCCACTGAAATGCAAACAAGGCTCTGGGGCAGCAGGAAGGCCTAGGTCCTGTTGGGGTTGGTGGGCCCTAGCAGAAAGTGCTGGGTCAACCAGGCTCCTGGAAAGCCCTTAGGAGGGTGAGCAGCACAGCATCCCTCCACCGGCTGGCAGAGGCATCACTGTGGCGTCTCCCTCACTGCTATATGCCAAGGCTCTGATTGTACCTAGGGAAGCCTAGAAGGGAGCAAGGTATCGCCTGCATCCACACCCCAAGAGCCAAGTCAGATGGGATTTAAAGGACAAGGTGCCCAAGTGCCATCATGCCTAGCGGCCAGGCAATAATTCAGAGAGGCCAGTGGTAGATACAGTCAAGAAACTGAGTCCTAAGTGCTGACTGCTGTAGCACACTTGCAGAGCAGACAGATTTTTGAGACAGGCCAGCTCACAGCCTCCTGGTCAGAACCCTACCAGGCTGCTGCTGGAATAGTGTGCCCATAAGGAGGCCCCCAGAGGGGAAGGGGGCTCCTGTAGGTACCCTTTGACTGCTTGCACCTGGAGCCTGTAAACCCAATGAGGACTGGCAAAGGCAGATCTGGGAACAGGAGACACAAATCCCACAAAGCTAGATTCTCTGCTGCCCAGGATCTGCAACAAGGAAGATTCCCCATCCAGCACTGCCATCGAGGTCAAGGTGCCTGGGAGCACCGTGATAAGAAAATTTCTAACCAGTTCTTCACCCTTCTTAGGTGAAGAACTTAGGGGGCCTCAGTTTCTCTTTCTCGGGTCAACAGTGCTAGATTTGGCTCAAGAAAACCACATTTAGAAGACACATTGGATCAGGGAGGAGCTAAGCTGAAAAATTTCTGACACCTGGCCCAGCCCAGCACTGTTGCTCCTTGGTGGTAGGACTCCTCTAGGTAGCAAGGGTTTACAAAATAACTTTGCTTCCTTTCCCAGAGACTGAGGCATCCTTAGCCCTCCCCTCGGGAGAGGTTTATGGAGCAGTCAGGCAGAAGTTTAAATGACAGAGACCTCCCACCTTTGAATTTTCCCATGGAGATCCAGCAGTTCCTCCTCTTACCCTAGAGAAGAGGTCAAGGTCAAAACTGCCTGAATTCCTTCCTTACCTTGCTTCTAACTTCTTGCCTACACTTGGATCCCTTTCTCTTCTCTTCCTCTCCATACACACTGGCCTTCTCATCTGTTTTGGACTTACTAAGTTTCAGGGCACAGTGCTACCAAAAGCCACCCAGGTAGACAAATGGCAACTCTTCCTCAGCACCCAAGTGTGAGAGTTAATGCTGCCCTCTCCAGGAAGCTTCCATGCCCTTGTTCCCCAGTATTTGTCTTAATTTCCTTCTTGACCTTCATTACTGCCTGAAATGAGCTTATTGACTTGGCTCCATGTTACATGTATTGCCACAGGTGGATGAGATCCATACAGAAGCTTCCTCAAAATGCAGTGAGCAGCACAACTTTATCATCAATTTGTGATTCTTGTTTGTATTGTGGTTGTTATCTATGTGTATTTTAAAGAGAAACAGAGGCAGACAGCCACTGGCTTACCTCTGATATGCTCATAACAATGAGAGGTGAATCAGACCCAAACCAGGAGCTTGGAATTCTATCGGTCTCACATGTGGGTGGCAGGAATCCAAATACTTGAGCTGTCACCTTCTGCTTCCCAGGCACATTATTAGCAAGAAACTGGTTGGGAAGCAGAGCTGAGACTCAAACCCAGAACTGGGACGTGGGCATCCCAAGTAGCACCTGCATTGCCCCCAAACACCTGTCTTTTTTTCTATTCATTTCCCCTTCCCTGTAAGGTGCACTCCTGAACCTGCCTATTGTCCTCCCAGGTAATGCAGGCCCCACACACTCACCATCTGCTACATTGCTGCTTGGGGGTAATGGCTGACTGTCCTTGTACCTCATGCTGGCCACAGTTTTGCTGGCCTGGCTTCCCAGTGTGTTCACTTCTGCAGGAAGGAGAAAGGAAAGTGAGATGATGCATAGCAGGTGTCACATCAGCCTGGGTGGGAGGGAAAATTTTCTGATGCCTCTGGCCAGAGGCAGGCCTGTGAGCTTTCCTTAGATGCAAATGATGTGAAACACCGGGACAGGGATTCCAATGGTCAAGTGTCCAGGAGGCTGAAGACCATGAACAATTTAAAGGACTCATTACCTAGAAGAAGAATGAGCAGATGCACCTGTTCCTGAGAAGACAGAAGATGGGGGATAAAAAGGAGAAGAGCTCTCCTGGATGCCAACCTTTCTTGTTCCCATTTCCTTCCTGTACACATCACACCAGAGGAGGAATGGGGCCTGACACCCACCAGGGATGCAGCAAAGACATACAAGGAACCTCCTCTCTGCACAGCTTTGCTCTAAGACAACTGTGCCTTTTCCTAATTTGCAACAGCCATGTTATGCACTTCCACCTGTTTCTCAGGCTCCATGCTAAGGTCTTCTAGTTGATGAAGTCGTTCATTTATACATAAAAAGTCTTATTTATTTGAGAGGCAGACAGATAAACAGAGAGAGTACAAACTCTTATCTGCTAGGTTATGCCACAAATGCCCATAAAAGCCAGGCATTGGCTGTGCTGGGACCAAAGCTCACTCTAGAATGTGGACCAAAGCTCACTCACAGGAGTGGCAGGAACCCAGGCATTGGAGCCATCATCGCTACTTCCTAAAGTCTGCATTAACAGGATGCTGAAGTGTATAAAAAAACAGAGACAGGTATCAAATCCAGCCACTCTGACAGGGGCCATAAGTGGCTTAATTACCAGGCTGAATCCCTGCCCTGGTTGTGGCATCCTAGCTCACTCTTCAATCTTGGCTGCTTTTCTCTACTGAAAAAGCTGAGAGTGGGTTAGAGTCTGTTGGCCAAGATTATGTTCTAGAATGGTTTACAAATTGGGAAGCTTGGGTGCTAACTCCCTGTGGGTAAGGGAGAGAGCAGCATAGGATTTGACACCCCCATTGCCCTCACCAGACAGACACACACACACAAACACACACACACACATGCTCTGACAGCAACTTTGCCTGCCCTGGCACCAACACCTTTGGCCAGTTGACGTGGCTACTTTACCTTGTTCAATCCTGAGGACAAGGAAGAAGAAAAGAAAGCATGCCATTTGCCCCCTCTAGAATCCCTCTGTATGGCTGGTGTGACATCAGTGGGTGTGACATCAGTGGGTAAGGCACACAGAACACAGAAATCAATGTAGCAGCCCAAAGCTCAACGATTGTTGCTCAGCCAAGTCTTCATTTGCCAGACTTATTTCTAAGCTCTTTTTATTTAGGTATTTCTATCTTGGTGTCTCCATCAGTAGAATGTGATCAGCATCACCCATGGTTTCCAGGGATACTAAGGCGAGCTGATATCAAAATGGAAGTACTCTGGGAACAATGTCTAAAGCTCTTCAAATACCCACCTGTGACTGAGCTGAGTGTACTTGATCTAACAGGAGCCAGAATGTATGTGTCTTGAAGAGACTTCCTGCCTGCATGATATGCAACCCCTGAATTTTCCTGGCCCCTGGAACAGCTAGTGTTGAGCACCTGTCACAACAAAATCACTTTCCTTCTCCAGGTTACTTCCAGAGTTAAGAAAGGTTTTCCTCCTTTCTCCTCCAGGTCAGCATTTCCCCATTCCCCAAGACAGCAGCAGGAGGGCTCGGAGCACCTGGGAAAAATTGGATTTGTCTTGAATCCACTTCCTTGGGTTCGTGGCCACTCTTTTTGGGGTCACACAAGCCAAATGATGATCCCTGATCAAGCTTAGCCACAGAGTCAATTTACCCTAAATGCCTACCCTTTTCTTACTCCCCAAACTGGACTGATCACATGTTTTGTGCCTCTGCCTGGGATCAGAACCGAGAAGCAAATAAGGGAGCCAAGGGGTGTCAGTGATGGAGGCAAGCCTTCTGTTCTGGAGTCCTTGGAGGAAGAGGGACACAGGAAGCACCCTGGGCTCCCACTCTAGCCACAAGAGAGCACCATGGAAGAGCCCATTCTCTGGGCAGAGAAGAGCCCTGAAATGGAATGTGGGATCTAGCAGCCCTGATCAAGGAACATCACTCTATCCAGGCAGCAAGAGAAGAGTGCTCAGGGAAAGGATGTGGAGAGGATGCTGGGAGCTTCTGTCCTGCAGGAAGGGAGCACCTAGGCTAGGTAATACCCGACTGACCCTGCAGCCCCACGCACTGCACCAGGGTAGTTACTGGGTGGGCTCACCAGGCCTGCAGATGCCACTTCTCCTTCCAGCTTACCACTGTAGTCCGGTGATGTCCTCCATATCCCCATGATCTCTTCCTCTGTGGCATTCAAATTTTGGAGGAGAAAGTAGGTGGTCATCTTCCCTTTACCTTTCACTTCGATTTCACCTCTCTCAATGATTTCAAAGCCTTGATTTTCCAGAGCTCTGCACAGAGAAGCCAACACACACTAGATATCAAAGATATCTGTTATAACACAAGAGTGGACTCCCATGCAAAGGGTGATGCAAAAGGGAAGAAAGGGACCCTGAACACATGGAAGAGACTCCAGACTTCAACTGGGGCCTGCTGAACAGGGCCAAGGTAGAGAGGAAGGTCAGGCATGCTGATCAGGACTTCCGAGATCAAGGGGGCACAGAAGGCATACCCAAACCCTGCTGACCCTTCCAGCAGCACTCTTCCTTCCAGCACCTCCCTCTTCATGCAACCCTCATTTCTATTGTGCTGCTTGGTTTACACTCCCAGTACTCGAGTCTGGCCACATCTGGAGCTCCTTGTTCAAGATTTAGTTTAGAACCTCCTCCTCTGCAAAGTCTTTCTGGGTCAGGTCCTCATTCTCCTGATCTCCCATAATCCCTATCTAATTCTCCCAGGCGGAGCCTCCACCTGAAACAAAAACATCCCGGTTTCAGCCCTGGATGCTCCACTTCTCATCCAACTCCCTGCAAATATGCCTGTGAAAGCAATGGAGAATGGCCCAACTCCTTGGATCCCTGCACCCACATGAGACACATGGAAGAAGCTCCTGGCTCTCAGCTTCAGATTAGCTCGGTGCTGGCCTGTGCAGTCATTTGGGGAGTGCAACAGTGAATGGGAGATTCTCTTTGTCTCATCTTTTTTTCATTGTAATTCTGCCCTTCAGATTAAAAAAAAATCTTCAAAAATAACAATAATTCTCTCAGGCATGCATGCATGTTAAAGGGTGGGCATTCTGAGCCCTGACTCCCAAGATTGTATCAGATTCTGCTCTTTTTTAGCCTTCTTGAACCTGAGGCAAGCTACTGACCTTTCTGTGCCTTCCTTTTTTTTCTCATCTGTAAACTAAAATAATAATAGCACTTCTTCAGCATTGTTGCAACATTAGCATCTACTGGAGAATTTGGAACAGAATATGGCATATTCTACATGCTCAAGAAAGTGCATTTTTAAAAAGATTGATTTATTTTTCTTGAAAGGGCAGGTTTACACAGAGAGAGAGAGAGACAGAAAAAGATCTTCATCCACTGATTCACTACCCAAGTGGCTGCAACAGCCAAAGCTGAGCTGACCCAAAGTCAGGAGGCAGAAGCTTCCGTTGAGTCTCCCACATGGGTGCAGGGTCCCAAAGCTTTGGGCCGTCTCCACTGCTTTCCAAGGCCACAAGCAGGAAACCTGATGAGAAATGGAGCAGATAGGACATTAACCCATGTGTAAATGAGATGTCAGCTTTTGTAGGTGAGCAACTAGCTAACTGAGCCATTGCACCTGCCCTGGAAGTGTCTTATTTTATCTTTATTATTATACTCATCTCACTGTGAATATTCTTTTTTCTTTCACTATATCAAGGGTCAGCAAATCTTTTCTATAAACGACCAGGTAGTAGCTATTTTAGGCTTTACAGGCCATGCAGAGTCCTGTGACCATTTATGAACTCTATTGTGTCTCAATATTAGTTGCAATAAAAAAAGCAGGGATGTGCTCTGATAAAACCTTTATTTACAGAAACAGACTGGACTAGCCAGTAGGTTGTAATTCAATGCTGTCTTCCTTAACCAATAGGCTCTTTGAGAGCAAAAACTAATATTTGTTGTCTGGGACAAATTCTTCCATAAGTCAATGGGACCTGGGACAAGATGCATGATTATTCTACTCTTCTTGTTGCGGTTGGGCTTTCTGTAGGTTCCAGAAAGAATAGGGGATAAAGAAAGATGTGAGTAACTGAATGGATACCTATAAGCTGTGGGACTGAGGTGCACTTTGCCAGGAAGCCCGTGGCTCTCCATCCTAGAAGCTGTGTTCACGGTATCCCCAAACAAGCAGTACCGGGGCATCTTGTCTCCAACAACACCTGCTAAGACTGGTCCAGTGTGGATACCCACTCTGATCTGTTGGGAGAGAATGTCATGGAAAAGAGACCCTCTGATTCTTTTTTCATTTGTAAATTGAAGCAAAATTAACACAAAGCTGAAAACACAAAGCATGAGAAGTGTTTAACTCTGAGTTTTGCATATATCCCTAAAACCATCATCCAAACTACAACCAAACTAAAAGCTTTGCTATGACACAATGTTGTCTTATTGCTATCTTATGCCCACTTCTCGCTTAAAAGAGATAACCACTTTTTCAGGTTTTTGGCCTACAATGGGTTTACCCATTTATGAGCCTCACATACATGAAATCATATGACCCATCTATATTGTTTCTTATAGTTCGATTTTTAAATTGCTGTAATAGTGTTCTACTGTGAGAAGAGACCATGGTTTATTCATCAGTTCTCTTCAAGCTCATTTAGTTTATTTCTAGTGTGAAATGGTCATAGTTAAGGTTGCTATGGACATTTCTGTATAGCTATCTTGTGAAAAATGCTTCTATTTCTCTTTGGTAAACACACAGAAATAGAATTTCTTGATCACAAGTTCATTGCATATTTCATTGTATGAAATCAACCAAGCAAAAAAAAAAAAAAAAAAAAAAGAACAATTCTTCAGTCATTGCCTTATTTTCCATGCCCATCAACATGTGACTCATGGTTGCTTCATTTCCTTATCATTCAGTTTTCTGGTTACATGTGAAATGAATGTTATCTCCCTGTGGTTTTAACTTGCATTTTCCTGGTAGCCAATGATATTAAGCTTATTTTTTTTATGAATAGATTGCTCATTTACATATTTTTGTGCAATTTGCTCAAGTTGTTGGGAAGGAGGACAGCTATTTGGAGTGGTTGTTAAATCACTGCTTGGAATATCTACCTCCCATTCAAAATGCCTGGTTCATGTCCAGGCTGCTCCGCTTTCCATCCAACTTCCAGGACAGGCAGGCGGTGGCTCCAGTACTTGCATCTCTGCCATTCCCATGAGAAGCTCATACTGCGTTCGGAGTTCCTGGCTGTTGTGGGCATTTAGGGAGTCAACCAGTGTTTGAAAGATTTCTCTTGATCTGTCTCTCTTGTTTTCCATGAAAAAACAGCAAAACAAAAAACCCCCCAAAACAAATAAAAACATGTCTGGAAGTTTGTGCCCATTATAGCATTCTGATTCTCTTTTATTGTTAATATGTGTACACAGTTGGACCTGTGTGTGGTATGTAAGGAAATTTTTCTCAGTGGATGAGCTTGAGTATTTTCTTTGATAAGCAGAGATTTTAAATTTTGATGAATGTGTTTGTTGGTGAGGGATTCCATGGTACTTTAGTGCATGGCCCAGCTGGCTTAAATGACAGCAAGGTGTGTTCTTATGATTGTGGAGGCTGGAAGTCCAAAGCGAGGATCCCAAAGCTGTGATCTCTGCTTGAGGCCAAGCTCTCTGTCTGAGGATGCCCGTCTGCACGCTGTGCTTATACGTGGTCCTTCTGCTGTGTAGACATATTCCAAGTGTTGCTTGTGTCCAAATTTACTCTTTTTATGAAGATGTAAGACATACTGCCTTAGGGCTCACCTGGGAGGCTTCCTTTCAATTTAATCACTTAAAGTCCTTGCCTCCATATCCAGTTACTTTCTGGAATACTGGGAGCTAGGTCTTCAACATAGAAATTTGGAAGGAATTTGGCCCATAACAATGAAGTTTACAAGATTTTTCCTTCACAGCTAAGAAATCATTGTTTACTCCAAAGTCACGAATCTCTTCTATATTTTTAACAAGATTTAAGATTGTAGCTTTTACATTTATATCCATAATATATAGGAAATTAATTTTTGCATGGCCAGTGATGGAGAATGAGGTACACTTTTTTCACTCCATACAATATTCAGTTGTAATGAAACTGTTTTTTAATTATTGCATTTGTTTTTAATTTGAAAGGCAGACTTTGTAGAGAGATAAGGAGAGAGATAGGGAGAGAGATCTTTTGCCCATTGGTTCACTCTCCAAATGGCTGTGACAGCCGGAGTTGAGCCAATCCAAAGCCAGGATCCAGGAGCTTCTGTTTGGTACAGGCTGTAAGCAGGAAGCTGTGTCAGAAGCAGAGCAGCCAGGATATGAATCAGTGCCCATACAGGATGCAGGCACTGCAGGCCAAGGCTTAGCTTGCTGCAGCACTGTGGCCCCAGTGGAGATATTTCTTAAAAAGAGATTGTCTTTCCCACTCAATTTCCTTGTGCCTTTCAATAGGCAATTGATTGTAAATGTCTAGTCTATTTCTGGACCCTCCACACTGCTCTGTTTGTTCATACCTCTGCCAATTCCGCTCTGTTGTTTTTTTTTAACTGTAGTTTTAGAGTAAGTCTTGGAATTAGGTAATGTGAGTCTTCCAATTTTGTTACTTTCCCAGATTGTTTGCATTAGTCTAGATTTTTATATTGCCACATAAATTTTAAAATCAACTTGTCAATATTTAAAAAAAACAAATCTATAGGGATTTTGATTGGTATTCTACTAAATCCATACATAATTCTTGAGTAATGAAAGTGTAAGTACACTAAATACTCCAGTCACAACTATGGCATACCTCTCTATTTCACTACTACTTGATGGAAATCACAGTCTCTTGCAGCTTTCCACATCCTAACCAGACTCGCTTTTTTAAATTAGATTTTTACTTCCTTGAAATAAGATAAAAACCTCTAAATCCTCCAAATGGCTTAGTTAGGGACTTCAGTAAATGTGGATTAAAGGCTGTATGAATTAAAGAGTAGAAAACCTAAAACCTACTACTTCAAAAACAATAGAAATTGAAGCACAATTCTGGTAGAGAAATGGTTTCCAGCCCTTTTCCCTACATCTGTACGTAACTTCATTGATTGCCCATTTTTGGTAGCTATAGAATGGTATTCCTAACACTATCCCTGCTCTTGTCTTAACGTTGCTAACATTCTCTCTTGTTTACTCCACCCCCCCACCCCCGCATTAGTAATCCACCATGAGGGTTTCCAGGAATTCAGTTTAATTTCATTTTTACTGGTGCAGTGTCACTTTCATCTCTGCTATTATGCCCATCTTATATATATATGTACTCTCATTCTCTCTCTTCTGTTTCTACAACCATATATTTTCAGTTAGTTTTTCTCTGGTGACTTGCATGAGGGATTCTTTAACTCAAACACTCATCACTTATCTGATTTTTTTTACCTCTACTTCCTCATTATCTCCTATCCTGACTTTTTAAAAATTAGATTGGGGTTTAATTCTATACACGTAAAAATGACATTTGCAATAAATCAACAATTCTGGGCCTTCTGTTCTTGTTATGACCTACAGCTATCAACCACTTGAAAGACCACAGCGTACACTGCAGCTGGGACTTGCCCTGGCTCTCAGTCACTGTGGGCAGAACAGGTGCGCCACATCCTGAGGATCATCTACCAGCATGTCAAGTTTGGGAAAATAAAATTGCTGGTGGCATTTACTGTCAGTTGGCGATTGGGTTGAATTTGAGTTTGTAAGTGACAGCAGCAAGAGAGGGATCCAGAAATCTGAAATGCAGAGAGACCATCCAATGTCACCTGAGGGGTTAGGAAACTAGCAAAGAGGAGTGTCACTTCTGATCTCAAAACTTTCCATGTCCTGGGGTGAGAACACACTTCTATATTTGGAAGGATAGCTTTCCCAAGGGAAAGGCAAGCAGCTGTCTCACTAACGCCAGGCGGTGGAAAGAAAGTGATTCTAAGAACTTGTGGTACCACAGTGCCTGGGTTGTGGGTGGAGGCTTCTTCACCCCCTGGACCTGAGTTCTGGCCCCATCAGGTCACATGTTGGGGGTGCTACTATGCAAGTGAGAAAATTTAGTTTCTCAGTAAATGTGAAGCACCACTGTTGAAGCACTTGGGGAACTAGGTAGAGATTTCAATACAGATTGAGCCCTGCCAGGTAAACAGGGAGTTGTGCTCTGCCCTATTCTAACTGATGGATGAGGAGGACACAGGGAGGCACCAGGAAACCTTGCGTGCTGCGACCTCTCCTGAAATAGGAAAGAAGTTTTGACTCTGATAACTTTCCTCATACCTCCATGACTTAAGATGTATGCAAGAAGGGGATTGAGAGAAGCTGCCCACTTTAATTATTGTAACAGACTAAGAACTTCCAAGACAGGTCAGGAGAATTCAACTTTTGTATCAGAGATGTTTGTTGCTAAGCAAAGCATGCAGCTGTTCCTTACCTGGATGGGCTCTCCAGTGATGGGATTCAGCACTTCCTTTGCAGCAATTCTCATTCCCAAGGCAAAATTAGCCACTCGCTGAGCATGGCTTCCAGTGGGCACTGGTACACCCCCCACCACCATATAAGCATCTCCTATCGTTTCCACCTGTTTGGGATAGGGAGGAAGTAGTATTCAGAGAGTTTCCTCATGAGGTAAATGCATCACTCATTTGTTTTCATTTTCCATATATTGGCAAAAGGACCCCCCTAGAGTTGTCAACTCTTTGTTGATGATATAAGGACCAAGAAGGAGGAACTGACCCCCCAAAAAGAGCCAGGAGACAGTTGTAAGAGCCAGAGGAAACACCTGAGAGGACATGAAGCTTCTGCAGTAGTCACATGACATTATACATTAGATATTACCGTATCTGGACTAGACTTGCTGCTGGAATCGGTAGTGGGTGACTATTCTCTGGGAAGGTAGTGTTTGTTTTTCAAGGGTGCCATAAAAGTATCCCAGTGCCTGGCATTGTAAAAGGATTCCTATAATCTAAGATGACTAGGGATTAAGATGACATTGGTAAAGATACCCTTGTTCCCTATGGGAGTACCTAGATTGGAGTCCTGGCTCCAGCTCTGGATTCCAGCTTCCTACTGATGCAAACCCTGGAGCAAGTGATGGCTCAAGTAGCTGGATTCCAGCCCCTTATATGAGAAATCCTGGTTTTGGGTTCCTAGCTCCTGGCTTCAGTCCCAAGAATGAATCAGGGACAGGATCTCTCAACCTCTGTGCAAATGCACGCATGCATGCATATACAAACACACACACGTGTATACACACATTAACTCCATCTAGCTTTCCTACTTAGGCCTCCTCTGCTGCTTTCTCAGGTGCATTAGCAGGCAGCTGGGTTCAAATCAGTGTTCTGGCTTAGAATGCTGGCATTTCAGGCAGTAGTTTCATCCACTCTGCCATAACACTAGCCCCCTCATTTTTTTTTTACAAATTAGAATTTCTAAAATATTTCCAATTTTCTGTTAGCTCTTCTTCTTCACCCCAGTCCCACCTACACCAAATCCAAGTCTAGTTCAGACAGAGGCAAAAGAGAACCTAGAATGAAGTGCCTGCTCAGCCTGAGTTCACTGTGAAACACACAGACACTTACTTTGTACACATCATGGACACTGGTTAACCTGTCATATTTGGAGTACATTGCATTTAGCATATTTACAATGTGGATAGGTTCACAGGCAGCACATATATTCGTGAATGTCACCACATCACTGAAAAGGATTGTGCAGGTTTTAAATTCCCCTGAAACAGAAATCAGGTATCAGTCATAGGCAAAGGCATAAAACAATAAATCTGTCCGGGTTCAAGTGCTCTCAGGGAACCAAATCCGCCTGCACCATTCTCCAGTCATTCAGAAGATGCATGCTATGCACCCTTGTGAACATATCTACTGAGTGCATGTTATGAGCTAGCCATCATGCCAGAAAAATGTGCGATCACATCAAGCCAGCGCACAGAGCACCCACCCCTGAGGAGCTCATACTGTAAGGCATAAAAGCAAACAAATACCCCTAATACAATGTGACAAGTGCTGTGAGTGACAGAATTGGTCTGTAGCAGGTTGGCCAAGGCAGAGTCTGAGACAAGGACCACCAAAGAACAGCCTCCATGAAGCATGGCATTCTCCTGCTTCTGAACAGAGCAAAAGCCACCTCAACCTCATCCTGCCCTCCTTCCTCACCCGCATCTCTGCTTCCATTCTAGCCCCCACCCATGCTATTATTCACTTTGCAGCCAGATGTCCTATCTACCTTGAATCTCCTCTCGATTTCATCACACTGAGAAAAAGACTACACATCCTTACCAGAGACCACCTCTTCTGTCCCTGACAATTTTCTGACCTCATGCTTTGATGCTATCCCTCTGGCCTCCTTGGGGTCTCACCAGAATGCTAAGTACCTCCTATCTCGGGGCCTTGTTACCTGCTGTCTCTTGTGCCTAAGTTACTCTTCCTACACACTTCCTCAGGGCCCTGAAATGCATGTCTCATCATCTATCTAAAATAATAGCCTGCAGAATTTCTTTCCCTTTGGCATGATCGCCTGACCCCCTGGTTTATGAGACTTTTATGGCATAATAATTTATATGAAAGTATGTGATTATTCATTAATATTTCTGTTGATTGCTTATGTGGGACTTCTCCATTGGGGTTTGAAGCTCCCTGACACGAGAGTGTTGGGGTTCCTGCTGTATTCCTGGTGCTGAGAGAAGGGCCTGTTATGCAAAGAGGCTCGAAAAGAGTTTACAAGTGAGTGATAGAGCGCTTAATGCAACATTTTACCCTGTTGCAGCCTCCAGTTCTTGCTCATGAACTCTGGCCTCCCACCTTCTCCATTGCATCAGTCCTGAAATGCTGCTGGCTCCCCTCTGTGTTGCCTTATTTCAGGCCTGGACCTTCACTCACTGTCTCCCTCTACTGCATTCACTCCATGCTGCAGCCAAACCAACCCTGTCACCTCTTTGTAAGGAAAAAAACAAGACTTCAGTGGATCCCTACTGCCAACCCAAAAGATCAAACCTGTTTCCATGACTATCCAGAGTTATTACCATGCAGCCCAAGTCTCATCTAGCTGCCCGACCTCCTCAGACACTACTTTCCCAGCCCCGTGGTATTTCCCCACCCCCATAACCCCCTGCCACCTGAGCCTTCTCCCCTTGGATGTCTTTCAAGTAACAGAAGGATTTTTCCTTCTTCATTAGACAGAATTCAATCTTGAGGCTAAACCTGAGCAGCACCTGCTTTGGGGAAGTGCCTCTGAGTTCTGCCATGCCCCAGTCTCTTTCTCCTCTGGCATTTGCTTGTTATTAGCCCCCTTGGCCCCCTGTTATCTGTTTCCAAAGTCCTGTATGGGATTGAGTAAGTATGGTTTTTGCAGTTCTACACATTTAACACAGTTCACTTCCAGCTCACAAGCGGGCGATTTGTTTCCAGCTCACAAGCAGAAGTGCATGGTACAAATAACGCCTCCCACCTCACCTCACAGCCCTGAGAAGCCCAAATGAACGAGCCTTTGCAAATTGTCTAATCGGTGCCTGGTACAATAATTGTTCCTTTACGCACACTCATTTCCATACCTTTTATTGCCCTCACCCATTAGCTGATTCTGTGTATTGTCAGAAAGGTCATGGAAAAATGCATGTTAAGAAATAACAGCATAAATTTCAAAATGTTTTCCACCAAAATAAACTTAGCTTTTAAATCCATTTCCACAAAATTTTTCAAGTGTCTTATCTACTTTTAAAACCCACAAGGCCATGAGCTGCTTTGGATGCTCTTCCAAATTGGATCAGCACCAAGATAATGAATGGGTTCACCAGGCATGTCTATGATTGAATGCCTCTGTGACAAGCTAAGTGAATTCATGGTAAATGTAGCTCCTCCCCCATGCCTAGAAATAGCTTTTTCTTCTGGAATATTCCTCATACACTCTATGATTTAGCTAACACATGAGTGTTAACACATCAGTTCTATGTAAAGATTCTGTAGTCATCTGAATAATGAGGTAGACTCAGCACCTCACGGCAAATGTCTTTGCACCTGCTGCCTCCTAAATTCTTAGAGAATCTCATATTTTGTGTGTATAGATCAAAGGCAATTTTGTCTGATCCGTATTGTATGCTTATATTATTTTAGTTATTTTCAGTGCATTGAGAAGAAAGCAGAAGGGATGCAAATTAATTAGCTGGGCCACTGATGGGGGCACCACTGAGAAGTAACGATACCAGCTTGCAACCCAGATCTGCCTGCTTTCAGACCTGCAGCCCTGGTCATGAATGCATCCTACATCCTGCCCAGAGGACTTGTGTAGGCCAGGGAACCCTTACCTGCAGCAACCTTTTTGCCCTCCTTCAGTTGGTTGGCCACATGTTCAGGCAGCATGGCGTAGAGCAAGGTCTCTGTCTTCTTCTTCTCAATGGCTAGGTGCTTGGAGAGGACACGCAACTCCTCCTTCTTCCGCTCCAGCTGGTTGGACAGCTCTATCTCTGCCAACCGCTGCTGGTTCAGGAGGATGAGGTCCCTGGTGGTGTCATGGGGAGCAATGTCCGACAGGTGCATCTTGCACTCCTCCAGCTCTTGCAGGCTGCGGAGCTTCGGAGAGCACAGGTAGACCATGCACTGCAGGGACTCCATCCAGATCATCTGGCCTGCTCGCCATGGAGAGAAAGGCAACAACATCACCGTCGGGGGATGCAGTCTTGCTGCATCAGCAAACATCTCCCATCCTGTGCCTTCAAGCTGTTGCACAGTCATGTGCCTTCTGTTTCAGCCACACCTCATGAGGGTTTTCTGTCTGCACTGTTTCACCTTCTCTCCTTGATAACCTTCTTCAAAGCTGCTTTTCTGGCTGTGAGGTGGCTCCCATGCACTCCACAGTCTTGCCCACTAAGACCTTCCATCCCCAAAGAACTTTCCCTGCACTGCTTTCTTTGTGAGATCTCCTCGAATTCATTTTCTCTCTTGCTTTTTTACAGTGGTGATTGTTGTTTTCTCCTTCCTTAAATGTTGGTATTCCCCAGCAATCTGTCTCACTGTGATTTTATCATTACACAGTTGCATTCTACGCCATGCTGACAATGGGTCACCCTAAGGGTGATTATTATATGGTTGTATCTGTATTAGTTTTCTAGAGTAGTCAGACTCATGCAGACAAAAGGCAGAATGGCAGATAAGTTACCAGGAACTGGCAGGAGGAGAAAAGGAGAGATTATTATTTAATCAGTATAAAGTTGCGTTTGCAAAAGGTGAAATATTGCTTCCTGGATATTTTATTATATAGAGCTTTTTTTAAAAAAGATTTATTTTTATTATTTTTTTATTGGAAAGGCAGATATACAGAGAGGAGAGACAGAGAGGAAGATCTTCCATCCGATGATGATTCACTCCCCAAGTGAGCGCAATGGCCGATACTATGCCAATCCGAAGCCAGGAGCCTCTTCCGGGTCTCCCACGCGGGTGCAGGGTCCCAAAGCTTTGGGCCGTCCTCGACTGCTTTCCCGGGCCACAGGCAGGGAGCAGGAAGGGAAGCGGGGCTGCCGGGATAGAACCGGGGCCCATATGGGATCCCGGGCGTGCAAGGGGAGGACCTTAACCACTGCGCCACTGCGCTGGGCCCCTATTATATAGAACTTTAAAAGTATGTTTTTTACCATCAAATGATATATGCATACAGAGGTGCTTCAGAGATTCATGGAAATGGAATTAAAATATTTTTGTTTCAGGACCAATCTTGAAATTTGTGCATACTTTTTTTATAATATGCACTTTCCATTAAGTTTCTGAGTGTATGTTTGTGTTTTGTTTTGTCTTAACCCAGAAATGACTGAGGAAATCAAACCATGTTTACAAACCAAGTGCAATTGTCAGGAAAAAAATCAACTGTTTTTCAACAGATCTCTGCCCCACTTCGTGGGAACCTGGAAAACGGCCTCTTCCCTTTCTGATCGATGTCCCGAATGGGCAGAGAGCAATGGGAAGGCAAGAGTTACTACCTCTGAGTTTGAGCGGGGGCTGATCCTTCCATGTTTCAGGCATCATTTCCCTTCGTGTCTTCAGGACAAACTGACTATTGATAAATTTGCGGATGCTGCAGATGTTGAAGGCAACTTGAGGATGAATGATGGAGAAATGCTCGTCTAACCGCACCTTCTGAGTTTGGAGTCCTGGGACGTATTTCTGAAGATTCACCCCAGCTTGCCGCACTCTCAACTGTCCACAGAGCACAGACAGTGTTAGACTGGGGAAGAGAAAGCAACCTCCACCATCACCTTTCCCTTAGCAATGACACTGTGGTCACGATTTCTTGCAAAGGAGAGGAAAAAGGGCCGGTAACAGAATCAATATCATGGAAGTTATGCATACATTTTTCAAACAAAATTGTCTTTGAAGGTAAGTTGTGACAACTCATGTCTGGAATAAGCATCAAAATTTTTTCTGTTATCCTGTGCTGACACTTCAACAAGGGAGTTATTAAAGTGATCTGGAATTTAAAATAATCATAGTGGTAATACTCACTATACTCTTGTGACAAGGAGTGAAAGAGGGAACACAGATTTCCATTCCCGCTACTGTTTCAGGTACAGGTGCTTATTTGCCTCAGTCAGACCATCATTTCTTGTGGGCAGGAACTACTCTCAAATGACCAAATTTCAAGGAATCTGTGTCCAGCAGTGGACTGGTAGGTGTCATTGGAGTCAATAAGTATCACAGTGGCTGAAAACATTGACTAATTGTCCTTTGAATGAGTTCAATATCAATTCAATGGCATATGTGGGACACTGAAGGACATTCCTATCCACCAAAATTAAATGTTCATGCTCATAATCCCACAGCAGAGGGCACGAGATCAACACAGGCTCCTCCCCTTTCTCAAGGTGTAGACGGTGAAGTTGAGCAGGCTTGAGACATTTGGGTAAGTAAGACGTCTGGAACTCCTCTTCCCCCTCCCCCATTGCTGTTGACTGTTGTCTCTTTGTGTAGTACATCTCAGTGTCACCTCCTGCTTCCTTATGGCAAGTTTGGCCATTTATTCCCTGGCTCAACCCCACAACAGGAAAACAAAGTCAGTAGTCCTACCAGGCCAAATCTCTGGAAACTTCTCAGTGACTGGCAAGTCCCCACCCACTTCCTTCTCTGACTTCTCCCCAACGCCCATTCCTAAGAAGAAAGGGCAGCTTACCGCTTCATCAAACACAACGTGGAAAGGAAATACATTACAGAAAGTCTTCTCTTCAATCCAGAGTCTCTCAGGATACATGGGCTTGAAAGCATTCCTGAGATGCCCTAGACATGGAAAAGAAAATGTCCTAACGAGAGGCAGCTCTCACCTCCCACCCCCACCCCCAGCAGAGAGCAGAGGATCAAGACAGGGTCTGAAGCATTTGATAAGCAAGTCCAATGCCCACTCTTTACCATGGGCCCTCTCGGCGTCTCCAGATGGCCACAGCAATTCAGTTTCCAAATTAAAACAAACAGAAAACTTGCTACCAGGTTGTGAAGCCCTCCTGCCCCCTGCCAAGTTCCTGCCCAGCACTGAAGAATTTCTGGGCCAATTGAGTGCGTGTCACCATGAAAACAGAGTAAGCACTGAGAGGGTGACAGGCAGACAATGAGCCTGCAGAGCAGAGCGTGTGCGCTGGGCCCCGCATCAGGGACATTTGCCATGGAGCTTTGTAGACTGACAGTTTTGGGTGGCACGTGAAAATTTAACCAACAGTCTTTTTTGGCAGGAGGTAGAGACTCAAACTGGAGGCTTTTTTGATATGAAAATCTCCTAGACAAAGGGTGTCAATTGCCTGTTTGACTCACTTGCCACGGCTTGAGGGACTCAAAAAAAAAAAAAACACCCAAATCTCTTTGAGCCCACAATCCCTCCCCCAGATGTGTAGCATCTGACCAGCGGGCTTCCCATGGTTTGGGGCCCTTATTCTGCCTCAGGTGCCACATGCCGCTCATGACAACCTAAGTGCCCATAAGGGACTCTTCCTGCTGGTTCTCCCTAATGACAGTGGGGATTTTGTCTGCATGTTACCAGGCACAAATACAAAGTGTAATGGAAAGCATGTTAAAGTCTGATGTTCTCAAGATCAAAACCACGGCTGCCACATCTAGGTTCTGTGGACACCATTGTCATAGCAGGATTTTGTGCCTTTGTATAAATATCAGCTGCCCTTCTGAGAACCCAGCAGTCCTTCCTGTCTAAGACCTGAGCCTGAGATAATGGCTCACCCACTTACCTTTTCCAGATAGAACTATAGTTCTTACAACATCCCAGTAGGATTTCTTGATAGGGCAAACAGAAACACTCAGGTACTTCTCTTTCATTCTAAGGAAAGCTGACTCCAGGGCCTGCAGACAGCAGGGAGAGACACACAGGCAGGAGACCATGTCATTGAATAAAGGGAAGCAGCATTTGCTGTGATGGATTTCATTTTTTTAATTACTTCTTATTTAATTGAGAGAGAGTGCAAAACTCGGCTCCTGAATCCATCTTTAAATGAGGAACAATGTGCATGCTTGCAAGACTTGAGAACTCTCCAAATCATTTTTTATCTAATTAATCCTTATGCTATTACTCTATCAAAGGCATCAAGAACTTTTCAGAAAAAAAAATGATGGTATCTAGCAGAAGAATAATACCTAAATGCCCTCTCTTCCTGTGGTTGAATATTCCACAGTGGCTAGGGCTGAAGATAAGCTCTAAGCACTCCAAGATAGAAATATCCTGTGCTTGAGGAATCACAGACCTGTTTGGATATTTGCAAAGTCCACATGGATACAGGAAGCTGATTGGCTAACACTGCAGGAGTTGTCCTCTAAGTTTCAACTGTAGCCAAGCACAGGATCTTCAGAGTGATACTCCACTACACAGCAGGTATTAAAGACCTGCAATGTCAACTTATTTTAGGTCACTTGATTCCAGCTTCAAACCATTTCTATTGGCATTCTTATAGGAAAATAGTGTCAGGGTTAAGGGACATCCCAGAACTCTCCCAGCGTGTACCCAGTTAACTGAAGCTTGACAAGAATTTTACCCTCTACTCCATGTTGGAGATTCTTGGCATTTTGATTGCTGCAAACAGGGGAACAGGGTTTCATCGCCTCTAGTGGGTAGGGATGCAGCTAAGTCTTCTTGCAATGCAAAGGACAGCTCAGAGCAACAAGGGATTATCTGATCAAAAAGGTCACCCAATTGAGACCCCTGTGCTAATTCCATGATGAGACAGTCCAGTCAGTTCTGTTGTTCTCACAGATTACACTAAGACTGATAGTATATTCAGGAATAATGGGGCTTTTGAAGTCACAGCAAACCCAGTACCTCTTGGTCCCTCTGGGCATCTGGACTGGCTGCTGACCTATCTGACTTAGCCCTTTTCCTCCCATTGTGAGCCTTCTGTACCACCAGGAACACCACATGCTCCTTCTTCCCGGTCCTCTCCACTTCTTCATTCATGTCAAGAATATTCATGGTCACATCAGTGTCAAAGAAGTCCTTGGCCACTGCCTCCAGGATGCCTGCAACAGAAGGGCACCTAGCAGTGAGGCATGGTAGCAGGCATTTGTGTTTGTAAAAACCATAACATCATCAAGTTATAAAACTTCTGACGAGTATTTCAAAGTTCACTAAGCCCAGATCATGTCTCAAAACAGGCAGCTTATGATCGATTAGTGAAATTAAAATCTGCATAGATTTAAGTAATGCAAGTCTGGGGCCACACATATCCTTGACTCTCTAATTTCTAACTTAGCATCCACTCATGTGTTACTTCAGGTAGGTATTTAACTTATGAAATCAATGCTGAAGATCACTTAAATAGCATTCAATTATAAAAATATTAAGGTTGAATTTTTAAAAATCATTCCCCTGGGAAATATCTTAGCGTTTTAATATATAATATGGAAAAAGCAAGCATGAAGATGTTCATAATTACACTGTTTAGCAAACGATTAGCATCAATAAGAGAAGCTTATTTATGATAAAATGTAATTTAGATAATCTTTAAAAGATTAATAAATTTTATTTATTTTCATGGAAAGGTATGTTGACAGAGAAAAGGAGAGACAGAGAGAAAGATCTTCCATCTTTCAGTTCACTCCCCAAATGACCATAACGGTCTTAACTGAGCTGATTCGAAGCCAGAAGCCAGGAACTTTTTCTGAGTCTCCATGTGGTGCAGGGTCCCAAGGCTTTGGGCCAACTTCCACTGCTTTTCCAGGCCACAGCAGAGAGCAGAATGGAAAGTGAAGCAGCCAAGACAAAAACCAGTGCCCATATGGGATGCTTGCTTTTGGAGGTAGAGGATTAACCAGTTAAGCCAACATGCCAGCTCCCTAAGAATATAATTATAAAGACTACACAAACATGGGGCTGGCGCTTGTGGCACATCAAGTTAAGCCACAGACTGTGACACCAGCATCACATATATAGCCCCAGTTCAAGTCCCAGCTATTCTACTTCAAATCTAGTTACCTATTAATACATCTGACAAAGCAGTACATGTCTCAAGTGTTTGAGTCCCTGTCACCTATGTGGGAAACCCAGATGGATTTCTATGCTACAGTCCCAGCTCTGTAGCCATTTGAAGAGCAAACCATAAGGCAACCTTCATGCAACATGTAAGATCAATAGATATATATAGGTAAACATGGATGTACACATATTTATCTAGAGCAATTATATAACAGAGACCATCCTATTGAGATGTGAAGATACAATGCAGTATGCATCTCTAGTTCCAAATCAAAGACAGACTCCCAATGAAACTGTTAAATATATCTTTGACAATAGGATGCTGGACTCTCTGCCATTGTCCATACCCACAATATCAGGATACACTTAAATAGCTGAATGATGGACTTATGACTGTTTATGAAGGACTATACTATTGTAATGATATAGAGGAAATCAGTGCAGGGAGGGGGGTTGTGGAGTGGGCAGAGAAATTCCAGAGTCTATGGAACTGTACCAGAAATAAATAAATATATAAAAATATTAAAATAGAATAAAATATATGTATAATCATCACAACTATGTATAAGGCTATATAAATTACTGTTTGAGAAATTAAAACTTATTTCTCCTTTTAGCATTTAGGAGACTTAACGTTTCACTCATTCATTCATTCACATTTATGTGCTAGGCTAAGAGACTGATATCTCTTATCTGCTGGTTCACTGTCCAAATGCCTTCCATAGCCAGGGATAGAACCAGTAGCTGAAAATTCAGTCTGGGTCTTTGACATGGGTAACAGGGACACAAATACTTGAATCGCCTGCTGCATCCCCACCTCACCTCACCCTGTGGTCCAAGGTTGCACGTTAGTAGGAAGCTAAGTCAGAGCAGGGTGCAAAATCAGAAGTTAACATCCAGGTTCTCTTATATGAGATATGAGTATCCCACCTAAGTTCTTACCATTGTGCTGGACATTTGGCTCAGGAAACTTATTTTAAGCAATCAAAGATGCTTGAAACATTAATTGAGATGACCAGCAGTCAGCATGGTAAGGAAGTGACCTTAATTCCCTGTCTAGCACCAAGTCATAGCCTCCCTGGAGAATTTAGAGGGATGTCTTTCTCACTCCAGAAGTCTCATAGGCCTGGAACAGGTGAAGCTGGGTCATACCTGGTACGATGTGGCACAGACCACTTCTATCTGAGTAGTAATGGAGAAGCATTTTCCCATCTGCTCCTTTTTCCACACGAAATGATGGTGCATTCATCTCCTAATTAAAAGACACAGCACATTCCCCTCCAGTGAACACCAAATGTTCTGAGTATTGAGCATTGAGTAACAATGTTACTCAAATGTGCTTTTAAAGTTCTGAGAAACAATAGCTCTTGTCCATTACATCACACAGAATCACATAAAAACTAGCTGCTTTCAGTTTCTAGGGGTTGGGAATCTTTTACTAAGCGCAATCTCCTGAACAACTCCAGGTGGCCAGGACTAGCTCCTCTTGAAGGAAAAGCAGTTCAAGGTCAGGGCTATGAGGGTTGCCTTAGTGGTAGAATGTGGATCCAGTCCTACTCCAGGGTTCAGGAGGCCTCAGTGTGTCTCTGCCATGCTTGGCGTCTGGACAGGTGACCATGAGCATCTTCAATCTCATTTGGGGGGCGGGGGACAAATAACACATGCAGGATCACACAGTTCTTAAGCTGCAGAGCTGCCTGACAGCACTCAGGCCCACTTGACTCCATGGCCAGGGATATGTCCTCACCTAGAAGTTCCCATGGTAACCACAGAACAGACATCACCACTCATTGTACTTGAAGTCAGTTATGGTTTCCAACCCTTTGGTTCCTTATCTGAAAAGTTCAGTAAAGACTGCTTGGACCAGCTTGCAAATGTAAGGGTGCATGATAACCTATGAGGCACGCTAACATCCACAATCTCATTTTGGACCCTGCAAGCGTGCTTATAAGTGGTAAACATGACCATGGGCAAGAAAGACCTGCATAAACTGTAAAGATTTCCAAACAAAGACGATCTCCTGGTTGTAAAATAATTAACTATTGTTAGGATGTAGGTAAAGTATGATTCACCTGTTCAACAAATTTTCTTCCTAAAAGAGAAACTGGAGTCTAGCTGTTTACATTTCCAGTGATCTTCAAAAATAAGAAACCAAGGAATAGATTCCAGAAGGACATATCCCCACAGGGAGATGAGTTCCTGGAGGCCTCAGGCAGCTGCCCGGTGGGTTCATCACAATTGAACAATTTCTGATGCTGCCTGTTGGCCCTTGTCAAGTCTTTCCTTCTGATAGGTGAATAACATAAGTCTGGCTCCATTCAGGCCAAGAAATCTTGGGAGAGATTTTGCAAATCCACTGAAACATGACTATTTTCCAGCCTTTGTTCCTATTGTTACTAGTCTCCAAGATTAAAAAACAAACAACAGAAAAAGCAAAATTCCCACACCAGCACCCTAACTGAGCAGGCCATTCCCATTACAAAGCTGGGTTTCTGCAACTTGGTTGACTTTTTTTTTCTGTTTGATTTCCAGAAGTGATCAACAGACATTTATTTTCCAATCTTTCTCCCAAGAGAACTCCTGGGACTAGAGATCCTGCAGCCCCAATAGATGGCAGACAGTTCCCTTGCAACTGCACCCCTGTGTATTGGGGGAAGGCAGGAAGATCACCTGGATCTGCTACCTTGTTAACGTCCTCTGGGTGCCACCAAAGTCAGGCTCAGGTGACCTTACCTGGTAAGACAACGCAAGGTAACTGTGGAGGGCATCCAGGTTTTCAATGAACTCAGTGAGATCTCCTCCCAGTGTCCTCAGCATCCTGTCATAGCCAGACATCTTACAGAATTTAAAGAAGTATTCTCCGAAGAGTTTCAGAATAGTTTCCATGGAGACACCTATGGAATCCAAAGCAAACGCCCCAAATAAAATCCCCCAGCAGGTGAAAGTTCCTCATTTACTGACAAAAGATTCAGATCTTGGCTATGTGCTGCTTGTTCAACTACTCTGCAATCCTCTATTTTCCTGAAACGCCAAGGACATCATCCAGTGCTCCAGGACTGTTGTGAGGAGCCCAGGGTAGCCAGGACATCTACCTGATAGGTGTTTGTCCAACAAGAGTCCTCCTCAAACCCACCCTGCTCGTCTCTGGGATCTCCACAGCAAGTATTTCCCAACAGTTCAGAAAAGATTACACTCCCTTCATCTTCAACTCTGTCCAGCATCTTTAACTACAGCAGCCTAAAGTGGAATGAAAGGCTACCTCTAAGAAATAGCTAAGATGCAGTAGCCAAGCTATGCTCATCTCAATGTATCCAAAAGATGACAGCAGGTGACTACAGTGAGTCCCTCTTTCTTTTGGCCTTGCAGCATCCTGGGCTCCCTTCAAGACCATTGATGCTATAATCCCTGTGCATTCCGTTAACTGTCCCAGGCCACACTGAATTCTCTCTTTCTACATGTTGCATTTTTTTGCTTCCTGGCTGTATGGCAATCCTAATAGGAAGCAACATTAACCCACATATTTTCTGTGGAGGACACAAAGTGGGTACTTGTTGAATTCCTTGGGATAGATTTATGGCATTGGATGGGATGTCTGCCCACTTTCTCCCCCTTTCCCCATCTGTTGCTGTTGGAATTGGCAGGAGGGAGTGTTTGCTTTTTGAGAGAGGTAGAAGAGGGTTTTACACAAATTCTTTGTAGTTCCTGTAACACATGTAAATCAAAGTTATGTTATCCTATGCGTGCCAAAAGCGGGCATGGTGGGCACCCTTCTGGTCATGTCTCTACTTTCACAGAAGAGTACGCTGAAGCTCAGTCATCTTTGTGAATTGACCCCACAGTCATGTGGCATGGAGGAGGCCAAATTGGTTGAAGAAGCTCCAAGTCTACATTAGTCCCATTTTGTTTCATATCGCATAGTCTGTAGAAGAGCAGCTAGAGAAAGCAAGGTAGTGTGGTTATATGAAGTCTTGGGGGGTTGGGGAAAGGTCTAGAACACCCAGGTTTGTGAGTAAATTGCAGAATTTACAATCACTAGGATCATTGGATGCACCATTGAAAGTATGCATGGATCTGGAATCATAGCCAGGACATTCCAGGTCTCCTGAGTCCTCCCGGACTAAGTGCCATAGAAGTGGAGGGGATGTGAAGCAGATGGGCCCTTTCCTGCCTCTGCTTGCTTCCTAGGGTGGTCTGAACATCAGGTTTCCTGCAGTAAGGACTGTTTAGTAGGTAACTGTTCTGTAACCTGAACAGAACATAGTCCCCATAGAGTTGATCTGGACTTGTCAGGAACGAATTATGCATATTTCACCAGAATTTACTAGGCAGGTCTTCTGGGTCTGGACAAAGCTTGTGGCATGGTAGTAACCTGTGTTGATGCCCTTCATTGTGTACTTGATTTGAGCATCAATATCCCAACAGGAGATTTCAGGTCTGTCTTTACTTGTACTCCAGAGCTATCTTCGTACTCCTAAAAGGAACTGAAATAAATTCTAATCAGGTCCTTATAATTTTTATGAGTCCCTGGGAGAAAGAATTCTTGAATAGCAAATGGGCAGGTGTGGAATTTCTCCTCGCTGTCTCTCTTTTTCCTCCCCACCTCTCCCCTGTAAACGTAGTGTATTCAAGCTGAGAAAAAACAGCTGGGCTGCACAGTCTGCAGGCTGGGGCTCTGAGCAGGTGCATCCTGTTACCTGCCAGGAAAAGCACAGGCCTCAGAGGCCTGCCTTCTCCCAGGGACCTCTCCCAGGAGGACTGCACTGTCTGCAAGCCAGGTAAAGTTATTTTCAAGTGACAGGGGCAGCCTTGTGTAGAAAGACGGCCTGTTTCACTTTTCTTTTACATCTGTAAACTTAAGGGGGAAAAACAATCCATGAAGTTCCTGGTTCCAGACCCTGGTTATGCAGTTTTGAGAGCCTTGTTAACACGAAAGGACATCTGGCTGAAGGACGAACTGTTTCTTGCTGCTGGGTTCAGGTGTGGTGTTTTCTGTCGGTGCTGGGTTGGGGGCTACTCCTGGGGTTCATGGGTGAAATGCTTCTCTAGCAGAACACAAAGGTGTATATTTAAAGTCAACATCTGTCTTATTCTTGGCAAATTTAGAATTCTGAGAGCCCTTTTAAGTCACAGGGGATTGGAAATATATAGAGAATGGTAAGAAAATATGGGTAAGAGCTAAACATGCATCTTAGATGCCTTAAAATGTTTTTGAATGGTGCAAAGGAGAATCTATGATAGACTTAACATTTTATTTTCTGTACAGGAAAAATTGAAAACCTATACTTGTTTATTTGTTCAAAATAAAACACCGGATACACTAAGGACTATCGTGGTTGGTACTTAGAGAACATGGGTGAAAATAGGGTGAAATGGTTAGAAAAATCGTGGAGAGGGAGGGAAATGACACTTCTCTAAAAATGTGGGGCATCGTGTTAATGTGTGATATGATTTTAAGAAATAAAAATAGCAATAAAGATAGGGAAAACCCCTAAGCTGAAATACAAACATGCACATTAACACAATATTCCAACAGAACAATTGGAATAACATAATTATCCAGAAAAATATTAATCTAGTAACATTTGATCTCAGTATATAAATTGTATTATATTCAGGACAGATGAAAATAAGCAAATATTCAACTGTAGTTAAACAGCCTTCCAAATGAGTGTGGGTTAGCAATTCAGAGATGACTTCCTGAACATTTGAAAACTCGGCATAAAAGTAGATATATTGTGGATAGTGGGAGCCAAGCTTCTGCTGATAGAGAATGAAGTCAGTCATGGAAAAAGAAAAGAACAAACTGTGTAGTGTTGGATTAGAAAATCTAGTATCACAAGATCAAGAAATCTGCCATGATTTTAGACATGATAGATGGATAGATGGATGATAAATGAATGACATATTGTATGAGTCTGATCTCTTTTTTCAGCTCTGTCAACAGGCAGTGACACTACAGTAGCAATGAGTTCATTTTAGTATCCAGGTCATGATTTCCTCATTCCATTGTCCCTTAATGGGTGGGGCCCAAGCCTGGGAGATGTGGTAGATTTTAGAACAGCATAAATTAAGATGAGCATAGGCCATCTTTTCATGCCAGAAAGTTTTTAAAAAATAATGAAAGGATTATGAGGACATGTCAAGAATTCACAGAGTTGAATTTGGAGGGACTTCCCTTCAACTCAGACAAGAATTGCCAGTAAAAAAGGACACACTTAAGAAGGCAGTTTAAAAAGCAAAAAGCTACCTGAATATTCCAACAATATCTTCTCACAAGATACTCTGTACAGGTTCCAATTTAATCAAGCACTCAGGGTTAACATCACCAGCAATGGGACAAACAGACATAACTCACTCCCTGAGGTCATGAGCCAGGAAGCACAAAAGATGACTTCTGTGGTCTTCCTTTCCAGAAAGCACTCCCTGAATTATGTCATGAGGGAATATTTGATAATTCTTTTTAAAGTAAAGATTTTAAAATTTTTCTTGGAAAGTCAGATTTACAGAACAGACAGAAAAATCTTTTGTTCACTGATTCACTCTCCAAGTGATTGCAATGGTCAGAGCTGAGCCAATCCAAAGACAGGAGCCAGGAGCTTTCCCCCGGTTTCCTATGTTGGTACAGTGTCCCAAGGCTTAGGGCCGTCCTCCACTGCTTTTCCAGGCCACAAGCAGGGAGCTGGATGGGAAGTGAAGCAGTCAGGACATGGAACTGGCACCTATATAGGAACCAGTGCATGCAAGGTGAGGACTTTAGCCACTAGGATAATTCCTCACCTTGCAAGCACTGGGATCCCACATGGGTGCCAGTTTGTGTCCCAGCTTCTCTACTTCCCCTCTATCTCCCTGCTTATGGCTTGGAAAAGTAGTGGAGGATGTCCCAAACCCTTGGGACCCTGCACCCTGCCTTTCCAATACAAATTTTAAAAATAGCCTACCAGACCTTTCTAAAAACAACAATGTTTTAGAATACAGAGATTCAGAGATTATTTCAGGCTCAAAAAGAGTAAGGAGGTGACTGCTAACATGACCTAGTGCTTTTGTTTCTAAAGGACATTACTGGGTCTACTGGAAAATTTCCAACAGAGTCTGTTGGTTAGATACTAGCACTGTGTTGTCACCCATGTGTGGATGCTGTGGTTTCCTAGGAGGAAGCCGATTCTGAATTGGAAGGGTTGGGTTTCAGATGTAGCCCTATGTTCCTTCAGGTAGCTCTGGTGGGCCACTTACACCTGGTCGATGAGAAGATGTCGTGGCTTCTCACCAAACCTAGGAAGAAAGTAGTTAGACCAACCAGGAGTCGGAGCAGTGGAAGGGCTGGGGTGTGGGACTTCGTGGAGCACTGTGCTGTAAAGAACTTGATTCATACTATTTGATTTTATCTCTTAAGTAACCCCCCAAAACTGACGTCACAGATGGGCCTGCTGTCTCCTCTGTGGGGAATTTGCCCCAGGTTATGTAGTACGGACCAATAGAGCTAGGGGTCTCCTTCACATCCAGCTGCTTTGGGGCTCCTTTCCCCACCCTTGGAGGGCTTGGTAAAGAGCGATTGTCCTCATGCCTGATTGCAGGCTTTGTCAATGTGAGACCGTTACTCTTCTTTTTTATAAAGGAGGTGCCGAGAAAGATTGTTGGCATTTGATGATAGCTAACTGTTGAAACACATTTTACCATGGGTCTCTTAGCTAGTGAAGTCTAGACAGACACAGCTGTGCCAAATGGCTGTTGGGGGTTGTTTGAAATTTGTCACTTCGGATCACTAATAACCCACTTACACACTAAGTAGGCACTTATTCAGAGGCAGAACAATTCCTTATGCAATGCTCAACCTGCCATCTGCTCCCTTCCTGAATTATGCTAATGAGAAAACACACAGCTATGTGGTGGCAGAGTCCTCTGGAAAAGTCCCAGGGTTTGCTTCAAGGTAGAAAATTGGCCCCTCTCGGAAATCAGAGCGCCTTCTAGTAGTGGCTAAGCATGTTTTGGTCTCCGTCAAGACAGCGATTAGTTGAACTGGCTCGCATGTTTTCTTAGACAGTCAAAGGTCCTTCCTGTGCAGCCTTCCCTTTGGCTGGGCCTGGTTCTCTCTGGCTCGTGGGAGCTGCACCGGGGACTTCAGAAAGTTTGAGGAGAAATGGAATGGAAAGATAATGTGCATTTTCCATGAACCCTTTGAAGCTGGCTTGTGTCTACACACTGTAACTGCCATCCAGGCAAGCAAGGCATTTTTTTTTTTCAAATAACACCAAGGAATGCTAAACTGAATGAACACATGGGTAAGCAAGCCACCTGCTCCAGAATCTGATGCATGTGTTCATTTAGTTTTGCATTCTCTAGTTTTATCTGAAAAAATGCTCTCTCCACTCTTACCTACCCTTTTCGGATGAGAGTCTCCAGATGTGGAGGAGTGCAACACTAAGGAGGAGAAAGAACTCTGAATTTCAGGGCTGGACATTCAGAGGGAAGTTACAGTGATGTGCCTTGGCTTTGGTGAGAGGGCGATGGGGCTCTTGTTGCTGCCTCCCCTTATACTGATTGGGTTGGAAATGTGTCTGCAGTAGGTGGAAATTGGACAGCATTTCCCTGTGAAAGATCCTGCCCTACTTCCAGCATCTATGACCACACAGGTTATACCAACAGTTCGGATAATACAAGTCATGCAGTAGAGTCCTTGTATCCATCTACAAGGGCTTCCACAGCAAAATGCCACAGGCTGGGTGGCATGAACAACAGATGTTTATTTCTCACCATCCAAAATTAAGTTCAAGATCAAGGTGAGAACATAGTTGGCTTATGGTGAAGATTTTCTCCCTGGTTTGCCGGTGGCCAACTTCTCCCTGTGTCCTCATATGACAAGGAGAGAGAGGGAGCCCACTCTTTACAAGGGCACTAATCCCATCATGAGGAACCCACATTCACAGATTCATCTCAACCTAATTGTCTCCCTAAAAAACCCAGCTCCAAATATCATCATATCAGGATTTAGGGCATCAAGATACTGATTTGGGGAGGGACACCATACAATCCCTAGCAGTGCTGAAGTGAAGAGATGGAGACAACCGTGAAACAGGTCTGTTTAGCCTAACAGTTAAACACAACAGTTAGACGAGTCTTATTCAGCTTTCTCAGACATGAGCTAGCAGGCTACAGACTATGTTTAACATTAGTGAGTCAACTACATTTATTAAATATAGTATCTTTAAATAGAAGCACGCAGAGCATGAGGTCATATATTATGTGATTAATCAAAATATTACCATCAAAGTCTCCCAGGCATCTGCACCTGGGTGTCTCCTAGGAACACTAGTTCAACATTTGCTGAGTCAGAGTTGGCTACAAATGTGTCGAATGTTGCTACAGATGAGGAAACCTGCCGCCATTGCCTGACAGCAGCCCCAAGGCCCCAGCACAAGCCCTGTCCTCTTACCCAGAATCTTGCAGGCTTCTTGGATGAGCTTAATGGTGATGCCATCATCGTACACTGTGTATGTCAGGAAGGTATCTTGTACTTCTGCAGAAGTTCTGGAAGGTAAATTGAGGTATAGTCAAAACTTGACAATGTGAGCTTTGCCACAGGAACTCACATTTACCCAGCAAGATGTGAGGCAGCAAGAACACTCCTAAGAAATCAGGGTGGGTGAGTTCCCACTCCTCCAAGAAACTTTGGCCTCCAGTTTGAGCAAGGATTCCTTTCTCAGCAGGATAGGCTACATGTTTCCCCCATTTATATATGGATGATTGGGCATCTGCCCCAGGCTAGGCTCTTAAAGGGTGAGCATTGTGACTTAGATTTCACCGTGGAATCCTCAATAAGAAGCTCTCTGGCACATGTGGAGCAGTTTGCACATGACGGCAAGCTTGGAGCTCAGTGGCAGAATGGTTGTTTGGGTGCCTTACTGCTCTGCTGCATGGTTGGCTGTGGGACCAACCCTGTTGGTGAACTTAGGTCTGGGCGCTGCTAAACAAACTTTTGAAGAGAGGCTAAACCTGTGGTCACATGTCACACTTACACTCATGGCTTGACCCCCTTGTGCCAGTAAAGTGCAACAGGCAAATCAGTCAATGGATGGGGGAAAAAAGGCTGGTGAGCAAATGCTTTCCTGAGAAAGTGAGGTGTAACTGAGATTGCACAGAGGGCGGGAAGGGAAGAGCTTTCCAGCCCAACAGAACAGGCGCCGAGGCAGCAGAGGTCATATTTAAAGAACATACAGGGGTACAGACCACTGGAGCTCATCGTCCAACACATCACAGAATTCTGTGGGATTTCCTCTTTGTCCAGTTACCCAACCTGCATTATCTCTGATTGCTGATCTTCCAGTCTCTTCTTGAATGCTTCCACTGGCAAGAAGTTCATTTGTTTGCAAGGCAACAGTTCCACTTACAGGCTGTTTACTTGATAGAAGACTTCTTTTTGTATGTTGAAAGAACTTTATTTCCGGAGGTTTTCCTAATGCATTCTATTTAGGGAGTAACTGGTTTTGCTTTTGAGCAAGAGGTGACAAATGATCTCTGATCTCCCCTTACTGTTGGAAACAATAGATGTGCAGAGTCATGAATGTGTTGTCCGGACCACTCACTTGTCAAGGGTAGAGGGATCCAAGTTGCTCTGGCCTTGTATCACCTCTGAGAATTGATTTAGTGATTCCCTGACTGTCCCTTGAGTAAGTAATGGCTGAGTCAGTCCCTCTTCCAGACACGACCCCTCTTAAAAATGCTTATGCAGTTCTAAATATCATCATCATCATATGGGCTGGACATTCCTTTCTATTCCTGGACTTTACCCCCCTCATTCTTAAATAGGGTGCATATTAGTACCTGTCTCTTTGATAAGGATAAAATATGATAATGGATGTAGAAGAGCTGAGAGTGAGAAGCACCATGTAGCTCTGAAGAGGAGCTGTAGTCCTGTGAGGACAGGGAGGTGACATCCTGTGAGGACAGGGAGGTGACATCCTGTGTGGGGAGGTGACCAGGGCTGGGGTAAGGACCCCTGGTTCCAGGTCTATCACCAGCACAGATTAGTTGTCCCTCTCTGGTGGTCCAAAGGCAGCCTCAGCGCCCCTCGTGTCTGCATATAAGGTTCCCTGTGTTTCTCTGCTTTTCTGTCTCCTGCTTGTGTCTGAGTGTCAGTATGGTGGTTTCTAAGCACCATAAGATGCAGCTGTTCACAGAAGCTGACTGCTGGACCCCAGGCAGATGGGCAGTGTTGTAAACCACCTTCCTTCCAATGAGGGAGGCATTCTATGCTGTGCCAGAGTTAACCTCTCCAGCTGGGGACCTGAGTGAAAACCTGTACCCTCCCAGATTTTCACTCAACATGCAGACCCAGATTTAAACTATATATGGCCTTTAAGTTTTCACTTAGGCAACCTGCATACCATATTGATGTGCCAGGGTCCTGGCCTGGGTCAGCTTCTGATCCTGGCTTCCCGCTAATGTGCACCCTGTCAGGTGGCAATGAGGACTCAACTACTTGTGTCCCTGCTACCTCCATGGAGGTAAATTAAGTTCTGGACTCCTGTTACCAGCCTGGTCCAGGTCTGGCTGTTACAGGCATTTGAGAGCTAAACCAGTGGATCAGGTGATTTCTCTGTTCATCTGTCTCTGTCTTTCTGCTTTCCAAATAAACAAAAAATGTATAAATAATAAATAGCAAATGACAAGTTGTCAGAGTCCTCTTGGAAACTGGCCTCTGTCCAGGTACCTGATAGAAGTTACCCATTCATCTTTGTCTGGATCTAGTATTCTTAGCATCCTGTAGGCTGAACTGATAGCACTACAGTGTCAGGTGCCTACTTTGGTGTGCATGCTGCATGCCGCTGGGGTACCAGGTGTGATCAGAGTGATGGGGTCACGCGGGGATATTCAGCCCCCAGTCTTGCATGTGATGTCTCCCACAGAGTTGATACAGACATACATATGTGTAGTCATTCAAACTGCTTTTATAAAACAGCATGTTCACCAAAAAAATGTTTATTTTTAAAAATAAACACATGACCATTTTCTATTAGGTTGACAAAGCCTTTGACAAGAGTCAGGAAGGAGAGGGGAAAATATTCTTAGAAAATATTTTGAAGAAATTGAGAATTTGGAAAAGTAACAACAGTGGAAAATGAGGCTCAGGTGTGATGTTTCCTGCTCCCCCAGAGTGGAGCCCATCTTACAGAACACAGACAATGCTGGGTCCACAGAAGATCCTGTGTCCATGCATGAGAAAAGCCAGATGAATCAGAACGTAATTGGAACGGCCAGGTGTTCAATGTGCATTCTTATTCAGTTAGTTTCAACTGGTGGTACCCAAGATATGTAACTAGGCAGGAAACCAGGACCAGACTGCCGAAATCGGAATAATGGGGAGCAAAATAAACACAGCTTTCACAGCCCTGGGAGGCAGTGCCAGCAAGCCTATGTTTTCTTAGCCACTTACCTCACCAGCCTGGCTCCTCAGGGCTTGGAAAGTCCTGTCCAGTAATACTGTCTGGGATGCATATGGCTGGGCAACTGACAGCCAATGAGACACTTGTCACGGTTCTACTTTCTCAACTGGTGTGGCTGTTTCCAAGGGTCCAGAGGGAGCCCCCCACCAAGCCCATCTCCCTGCACCCCATGGAAGAACTAAGAGCAATTTGTGACCATTCTCAGGCCAGGAAAATGGTGCTTAAGCCAAAGTGTTCCTTCAACAGCTCCCTGATGGAAGGTGAAGAACTTGGGTAACCCAGTGGCCTGTCCTAGGGAAAGAGATCAGGGAATTTGAAGGGTTGGCCCCATGTCACATCCTTCTAGGATATAAGAAAAGCACCACCCTGCCCTTTGATTCCACGTTCCAGCTGATGTCTCATCTTCCTGTTGCTCTCTCTGTAAAGTACACACGCTCAGCCTGACACATCCACCCCAGCTCACCCAGCCTCTCTTCTGTGCATGACTTCTTCACACTGCTCCTTCCTCCACCGCAAGAAAGGTTCTTGTTCCCTCCAGTTTCACTCCAGACTGTTCTTGGTGAGGCAGTAACAATAATCAATTTTTACAAGTCTTGTCCCTGGGCATGTAATTTCAGAACATTGTGTGTAGTGACACAAGTACAAACCTGAGTGCTCCTGCTATTGCCAGAATGGACGTGGCTCTCTCTCCAGGAAAATCATGTACATAATTGAGTCGTAAGTTGAATTAGTCACTTTTTGTCTCATGAACACCATTTCTACTCAGCATAACTGGCAAAATCATTCATGCATCCTTTAGGCTATCCATATCAGGATAGCTGGCTTTGAGTCTTGGCTGTGCTCCTAATGCCTGCCTCTTACTAAAGCAGACCTTGGGAGCCAACAGCTGATGCTCTCACTTCCCATCACCCACCTGGGAGAGCTGACCTGAATCTTCAACTCCAGCCTGACCCAGCCTTGGCCATTTTGGGCATTTGGGGAATAAAGTAGTAGCTGGAAGGACATTCTCTCTATCTAACTAAGGATTCTAATTCCATATAACTAAAAAAGAAAATTACTGCCAGATTAACTGCAATTGACCAGGCTTGGCTATTTGGCAGCCATTTCCTTAAAAAAAGAAAAAAAACAAAGCTAGCTTGTCACTTCAGGCAAAGTAACTTGCAGAATGCATTGCCAAGGATAAAACTCAGCATTTCAAGCTAAAAGAAAAATGAGAATTTTGGAAAACCTGGCAGCTGCTGCTATGAGCTTCCTGGGTCGTCGGGGGGCTGAGGGGAGGCTTTTCTGATAAGATTGTGGTGATATTGACAAATGAGACTGTGGTATTGTATAATGAAACATGTCAACATTTGTTAGATCTGCTAAACTTGGTGAGCTAAGAGTTTCCAAATTACTAACACATGATGGTACAGTCATGGTAGAGATTTATTTCATAGACTAAAATGGACCAAGGAATTACAATATCATTAGAGTATGAACAGGGTCAATGATATTATTTCAGATTCAACATTGCATCCTAACCTTTGAGAAACTCCCACAATTATTTCAAAAGAGAATTAAACTATTGGTTCCTTCTACATTTCTTTATATAACAACCAAACTCACAGAGAATAAAAAGTCAAATCCATGAAGGACTATATTATTGTAATGATATAGGGGAAAACAGTGTGCAGAGGAGGATAATGGGGGAGGGTGGCAGGGGAAATCCCTGAGCCCATAGAATTGTATCATGAGAAAAAATTTTTTTTTTAAAAATGTTGAATCCATCCATCTTCTAGTAAGTCAGACATTAAAAGTTAGATTTGTAAAAATCTTTTCTTTTTGATTTGTAAAAATCTTACTCAAAGCCCCTTTATCACTGCTGTGGGATGCTGGGAACAAATCTTTCAAGTGCTGTTTTAATCACTGCTTGATAGTTAATGTGTCAAATGTCCACTATGTAATATTGTCCAATATAAAATATGACAATAGTAACCATATTTTACAAATTTATTTTTGGCAAGATTTGTTTGTTTTCACTGGAAAGCCAGGTTTACAGAGAGAAGGATAGACAGAGAGAAAGATCTTCCATCTGCTGGTTCACTC